AAAAAAAAAAGCATAATACAGTAAAACACTCGATCCACGACGCCCGTATTATGGGACACTTGTTCGTAAAAAAGGAAAATATATCTTAACAGGAAACAAGATTAAGCGAGTGGGAGGAAAGTTAGATCATAACGCTAAAGATCATACAGGAGTGCCGTCTGGGTCTGTTGTTTTGTTTCTTTTCTTTTATTTTCTCTCTTTTGTGAGATCGCCCCACTTTTATTTTATCATAATGTCATAGCTACGTAAATATATACATAACATATAGCCTACATTTTAACAGTTATTATATCTATTAAGTAAATTAATTATATTTCTCTTATATAATACATATATATAGTACACTTCTCTTTACTGTTCTTCATAATACGTGTTCAGACATCTACTTTTGTATTCTTTATTATTATTTTTTTTTTTTTGTGTTGGTTTTTATTTTCTTCTATTTTTTGTCTTCCGTATAAGACACTCATCACTCATTTATTGATCTAATTAAATTATTATTATTATTATTATTATTATTATTATTATTATTATTATTATTATTATTATTATTATTATTATTATTATTATTATTATTATTATTATTATTATGGCACCCGTTCATCAATTCCTGATGCTGGGAGACAGCATACAGTTTCAAAGGAGCACACTTAGTTTCAAGGTGTACACTTTTTTTGGTGACTGATAAGTCCACTCTTAGATCGGCAAAAGCGTTCACATTCAATCTTTCGCTATAGCTTCCAATAACGATATTTTATTTTTTTTTTCATTTTTATATATTTTTCATGTAGTCTTATAGTAGAGATAACTAATAACTTAAACTTCGGTGCCATTCATTCTATTTCCTGTTGTTGTGATTATCTTTATCTAGTCGCTTCATGTAAAATTTTAAAACCAGGAAATAGAGCAACAATGAATTGATAAGGTTTTCGGTAAACAAAGTAACAGGTCGTCTTCAAGATTAAAATGTTAAAAGCTTCATAAAGATTTACTATAGCATGTATCTGCTATCATCAAGCAGATAACAAACTATTGAACGGCTGTGGCTAAAGAAATTTAAAAAGGAAACTAATTTTAAGCAACAATTAATATCTTAAATTGTACTTACCGATACATGAAAGACCGTTCGGAGCGAGTCGGAGCCCATCGGGACATATACATCGGAAACCATCTTCATACTGCTCACAGCCAACAACACATCTATAACCATCACATCTGTTGTCACCTGTATTCAATTAATATGTTGTTAGGCATAATAACTGCAATATGGTCATTAATAATTATAATACTAATAAATGATGATGATGATGATGATGATAATAATAATAAATAATAATAATAATAATAATAATATTGACAATAATGATAATAATAATAACAATGATGATAATGATGATAACAATAATAGTGATAATAATAAAATTAATAATAATAATTATAGTAATAACTTTTGAAATCAGGATATTAAATAATAACAGGGCCTAATAATATCAACAATAATAGCCATATTAAAAGCACAGTAATATTTATATAATTATAACAATATTAATGGTACTACTAACAACACTAATAATATCAATAATGGTAATGATAATAATAATAATGATCACGAATTTCACTGGTCCCTGATTATACTAGTAATAGGGCATAATAATAACAACAATAATAATTTCCATTTAATAGTACGATAAAAAATTTTAATAAATATAATAATAATAATAATAATAATAATAATAATAATAATAAGATTACTAATAATAATAATATTAATAATAATAATCGTAATGATGATAATAATAATGATGATAATGATGATGATGATGATGATGATGATGATGATGATGATGACGATGAAAACAATCATTATCATTATTATAAATATTACGTGAGCATGTGATCTTGTCCTGTTGAAGAACATATCCATGATCGCAATAGCAGTTGTAACTACCCAGGGTGTTCATACACCGTTGAGGGCAGCGCCATGGCATATCGCCACATTCGTTGTAATCTGAAAACGATTAACCAAAATTGAGTTAGACACTAAACAAACGACGGCCTTCTGGAAAGAAGTTGGAATTAGCCAATTCGTAGTTTGAACTGCGCATGCCTGTAGCAAGGTCAATCGACAAAAACGAACATACACACAACATAGGTTTATGTCAACTGACCTTAGATACGGGCATGCGCAGTTCAAACAACGAATTGGTTTATACATTGTATCATTAACCTATTGTGAATGCATAATGTAGTCCTAGGAATTAGCTAGATCTTCAAGCAGGCCTAATAATGTACGGAAATCCAATTGGAGTTAAGAATGGGTAAACGAAAAAAATCATGGCAGTTTTCAATGCAGCATTTATTATGGTGTTGTCACAAATACAATATACAGATGAAAGTTTACTGTAAGATTGGGTAGTTTCTGTTTTATAGTTTAACGCTATTGAGTTCATTCAGTTCTAAAACATAATATAAAAAGTTGGAAGATCTAAATGTTGTGTTGTGTTTATCAACGCAGTGCAGTAGTTGTTGAGAAATACGGTTTTCTTCGACAGTAGAAGCTGCATTATGCCGTCAGTTTATAATGCACCACACCGCAATGCCATTTTTAGGAGTAGGGACTCCCAGTAATGGCGTCGACAAAAGAGGGCGCCATTCTTCTTGGATTGGACTATAGGCATACAAGTGGATTTTTGTCGAAGATCTACATGTGAGTAGTTTCAGTAAGCCTACCTTGGTTGCAGAGTGCTCCAGTGAAACCCGGGTCACATTCGCATTTGTTTGGACCGACGCATTTGCCATGGACACATTCTTTCTCGCAAATTGCTGTGCATCGAAGAAAAAAAAAATCAGATATGTTAATATGAAAACTGTCTCTTATACACATCTCAATAATAGTGATAATAATAAAATTAATAATAATAATTATAGTAATAACTTTTGAAATCAGGATATTAAATAATAACAGGGCCTAATAATATCAACAATAATAGCCATATTAAAAGCACAGTAATATTTATATAATTATAACAATATTAATGGTACTACTAACAACACTAATAATATCAATAATGGTAATGATAATAATAATAATGATCACGAATTTCACTGGTCCCTGATTATACTAGTAATAGGGCATAATAATAACAACAATAATAATTTCCATTTAATAGTACGATAAAAAATTTTAATAAATATAATAATAATAATAATAATAATAATAATAATAATAATATAGTCTGTCTCTTATACACATCTAGATGTGTATAAGAGACAGACTATGTTTGATGTAGCCTTTGAATGAGTTTGCATGAAAGGAAAAAGCAGGTATATTTTATTTTGAAATTCATGAATACATAATATGCAGAAATTCACTTCTAAAGATGAACAGCTGGTAACTCTTGTTCTGGAAAACGCATTAGAAAAAATCAGCACAAAATCTTTAATATCCTAAAATTAAGTATTATAAAACCAATAATATTTTATTTTGTAGTTAGACATAATTAGTTTTTGTGTTTGTTCCTTCCATCGTTTTCAAATTAAGCACATTTTTGTTTTCATTTTAATTAATAAATACAATGTTTGACGTTATGTTAACATCAATTATTTATCATTTATCTGGTGTACAATCGACTTACTTTCTCACAAGGACTTAAAATAGGTCGCACCATTTTGTTTTGCCCTATTAATGACACAGTAAGCCTATACATTATAAGTGAATCTGTCTCAGTATCGTGTCATAATAGTTACACTAAAATGTCAATTACCATGTAATTGATTTTGCTAGACATAATCATCGTTCTTACAAAAGTTTCTCTGTTAATCTATCAAGTGAGATAATTGAATCACTGAAATGTAGGTCTAGAATTTCCGAAACCGTATTCAACCGTGGATGGTAGGCTTGAGTGGGCTCTCACTGCGCCCGACGCGACGGCCATCTATGTACCGACACGATTCTATTATTATTATTTTTATTTTTTTTATTAATATCATTTTTTTTATTAATATTATTATTATTATTATTATTATTATTATTATTATTATTATTATTATTATTATTATTATTATTTCATTATTATTTATATCAGTTATATAGAGATTTTTCTTTGCAGATACAGAGCGCTTCTTTCCCTGGTCATTGGGTCCACATGCTTACGTGTTGCTGCTAGTAATCAGCGCAGGAGTAGGAAACCCCACCAGTACTCATTTATACTACTGGGTAGAAGCAGATAAAGTGCCTTGCTCAAGGGTAGAAGCGTAATTTATAGAGGGGAATTGAAACCCCGACCTGGAGGCTGGGAAACCAAACCTTTCCCGCTGCGCTAAATTGCCTCCATGGAGAACGCAACGCCACAACGCCCGTGCAACGGATCGTTTATAATGACGATCCGTTTAGACTATTGCCACTGACAATCGATAAGCAGAGGGCGTCACGTCGTCTAACGCTCAAATGGCGTTCCTGGCTTTACACACCGCGCCAAACTGCACTCGCAGCTGTCAGACGACTCTTATTCCATATAGAACGCAACGCAAAGCAACGAGGTGTGGAAGAACGGGGTCGTTTTAATAATAATCTGCTCAAATTTCCACTGATAATCAGCAGACGGTGTTACTCACCAAGCGCTCAATAGACAGCGGATATGGATTTGTCGTCCGCCGACGGTTGTACGACCGTCGAATGGCTTAAGAGAATCATGTTCCAATATTCATATCACCCTAATTTAGTACACACATATTGAATATTTGGTATATAGTAAACTTCCGAATACAAAAACATAGCATCATCAAAATATAATGATTTTATCGATCCTATCATTGTTTGTATTTGTTAGAGTACTTAAACATATTTAGAAAAAAAAGAAGGAGAAGGTTGCCAAGGGGTCAATGTCGAAACATGATTAAGGAAACTCTTAACAGCATCTGGTTGTTGCTGTATTTAGTATATTTTGTTAATGTACCGGTACTTCCTACATGGTTCTCATTTTATTCATTTAATAGCTGGTTACTATTAGCTCTTATAGTCGATAATAGCTATACAGTTACACTAGAAGGCGTTAGCCTTTCATGTGCCACAAGTATGATTTCATTCGTATCTTAAACTTCGTAGATTTATCATAGTACTTTTTCATTGTCATGTTTTTGGGTATCACTGCCAAATTATATCAAGAAGATCACACGCGCTCTATAAAATTGATATATCTTAGGCTATTAGTATTACAAAAACGTTTTTATAAGTTCCTTTGTTTTAGTTTTTCTCTTGAAATACTACTGCATATACGGAGTGAAATAACTGAACTTTGACGTAAAACATCAAGACAAGAAGTCCCGATATTTAATCTGCTGTTTCTTTCATTTGTTACATCTTTACGTTTTGCTTGAATCCAATTATCCATGATGGCACTAAGCCACTAAAGTGAGTAAAACGGTTTAAGAATGGTAATGTTTATCAAGCAGACTGAATAACCAAAACGCACTTACGAACGCATTGACCGCCGACTCGTTTCCATCCATAACAGCAGTCACGTTTAAAGTGAATTCCATACTTGCAAAGAACACTATCAAACGTACTAGGCTTGGATTTTTTTGTGACTACCTCGGGTCTTTTTGCAGCTTCAGTGACGAAATCTTCGCCATGTACTCCAAATATCCCGGTACCCGCATGCCCCCTGGCTGGCGCTTTGGTTGGCGGCTTGGTCGGCGCTTTAGTTGGCGGCTTGGTCGGCGCTTTAGTTGGCGGTGGTGGTGGCGGTGCAAGTGAGGGTGTAACCTCGGCTTTTCCATGTACCCCAAATCTAATAAAGAAGAAAACAGATGGTTATCTTTTTATGCTTAATACTTAACAATAAATTTAAAGAAAACGTGTAACTACAAACCAAAAATATTGCCCGATCTTACCACGGATTCGGTCACTTTTAATTTACAGTACATTATACAGTACACAACTGGCAATTATATAACTCCAGATAAATAAATTATTTAAAACGTAATTACTAGTAACCTTTCATCACGTGGGCTTAGTACGGTATATAATATGATGTTTTGCATTAAAATATTGTTTATACGATGTGGAGGAGATCTAAAGACGGGCACTTAGCGCCCGGCGATTCTCTATGGATTGTATAACGTCAGTCACGGGGCCGCGGAGTTGGATTCGTCCTCTGACAATTGTACAACCGTCGTACGAGGTAGTGAGTACCTGATGTAGGCCCAGATAGTTCTGTATATTGGGTTGTTTAGACTACTGTATCTGTCTTCGATTATAATGTTAATCTAGTATCTATTGAAGACGATTTGATCAATGTTTAAAAGTGCAAGATATTAAAAAAAAGCTCGTTTTCAGAACTATCATACTCAGTGCAGCTGACAAATTCATCTCGGCACAATGTGAGCCAGTGGCGACGAGCAGGTAATCACTGAAAACGACCGTCGCACATTTTGTCGATTCACGTTGCGTGCTCCATAAAATCGACGGCGCAGTGGACGAGTGTGCCACTATAGTGTTTTGGAATCTCATTACCGTATTAAATTATTCAAATGAACGCTCCGCTTTGAATAAACGTCCCCTCCAATAAACGCCCCATTCAGAGCATTATTTGAAATAAACAAATCCCTCGAATAAACACCCAGATGCGTCGGTTCATTTTTTATTCGCATAACAGGCCACTCTTTGACTGTAAACAAAATTAATGTAAGCAACCCCATTTTCAAATACATTCTATTAATATTATTTTATTTGTTTCACTCCAATAGAATTACTTTTTATTTAACCTGGTTGGTCACACAATACGGTAACACATGTGTAATTCCACATTTACAGGGAAATTATAAGGGCGTAATATTATGCGTATCCATTTTACACCCAAAATGATAAGCGCCTCCCTCAAATCAACGCGCCCTGGCTCAAAACACTTCTCAACGACAAACGCCCGGGGCGTTAATTTGAATAAATGCGGTAAACTTTAAATTATTTTACTTACTGTGCCGATGATACCTGGAAACAAATCAAGAGCACCGACAACTTGAACCACATTTTGAATGTTGTTATTTAAGATGCCAAACTCTGAAGAGACGTGCTTATCTAGTCCACACTGCTGCCGATGTGTGGAATACACTCAAATTGTGGAATCACTTGCAAGGTCTACAGGAAACTCCGCTTACACAACCAACCAATCAGTGTTCGAATAATTATTCAAATTGGTTACCAATGGTAGACTTGAAATACAAGAACCGCATCCGAGTGAAAGACTTTTATTGGTAATCTATTGTTTTCAAATTTCTTATAAAGCCGAGATAGACAATAGGCCCCTGCAAGCCATTCTGTAACAATCTATATATGACTCAACAGACAACGTTTGATATCTAACCCCTTTACACTATCCTACTCCCTTAATATCCATGTTTAAACGCCAACACTTATCTCCTTTTTTATTCTAATAAGATAAGATTAAGTGCAGTATTGGTGATGTGGATGATTTTTACTTATCATTGTATGTCACAAATAATCACTATCGCAAAGAACTGAATAACAGATTAAAGCGCATCGACTGTAACGATCACGGTATCTGTGACAGTGTAATTATGGAGATTGACCCCTCCCTTAACAACGAAGCTTCTGAATGAGAGGTTATACGGTTTTTGTCGTTTTTCGTTTTACTGTTCTGTTTTGTATTTGTATATATATTTATGCAAGTTAAGTATACCCTGTGCTGTGTTTTAATTATTTGACTTTTTATAATTGTTGTATTTCCGATGTTTGAATGTGTTTATATTTGTATGCTTCTCCTTGTTTGGAGGTATTTTTTGAATAAATTTGAATTTGGAATTAAATTTGAATTTGAATATTACTTGATCCCAGGAATGACGCCAGTGGGGGTGGGGGATGGGAAAAGGGCCCCTGTCGGGTAGAGCCCACCCCACCCCCAGCCCACTTTCGGGGAGGAAAAAATGTAGGCCCTATACCTTTGTATTTTCTACATTATTAGTAGACCCGCAATCCCTAAATTGTCATATTTTTTTTAGGGGCTCCACCCCCATGCAACGCTTCCGAGAGATTTTGAGCGACGCCCGGCCACGCCAACTTTTTTTCGTCGGGGAAGCGCCCCCCCCCCACCTTTCCGGGGACGACTTCTTCTAACTATAATGTAGGGCCGGCTGTTAACTGCTAAAAGAAGACGGTTTTCTATTGATTTATTATTTACTATACTGCCTAACTGATCTTCAAGTTTCTCGTTACATTCCCAATCTATTCAATCAGTTCAGGTTCTATACACTCCCCCCTCCCCCGCACGATGAGTGGCGCATAATGTGGCCTACTGCATGAAGCTAGGTTTAACGAAAGCGGGACGGAACTGCAAAAGGCTTGCAAACGTAAGACCAGGGAACAGTGATTCACTGTTACCTGATAAAACTAATGTCTATGTATACCTTTTATGTTATTCTTTTGTGATATATGGCAATGGTAATGGCTGTATATTTATTAAGCGCATATTACATTAGTCTCTATGCGCTTGAAATGCAAAGTCGTGGAAGCAGAAATGAAAACCGAGAAGTATCCTAAGACTAACAAAAGCAAACAACCACAGAGACAAAGAGAGGACAGCAGAAGGAACCAGTGTTTACCTTTTATGTTTTCATTTTTATTCAAAAATGCAACCAGCTTTTCCTTAGACCCATGTCTACCCTATAACTAAATTGTATGATGATAATCATTGGCTTTTGCATAATCCTGCTACAACCATGGAGATCTCCGTGCTAAAACCAACCATACAGAAAAACAAAGCTGTGAATCCATAGGCTCCTCGGCGGAGGTAATAGAATTTTCCATAATGACGACAATTATGTTATAGCATACATCAATGTTATTAAAAATTCTGTTTTCCTCTTTATTGTTATAATACAGAAGACTTGTAGTAGACATAACTGTACCTGTAATTTTGTTTATAAAATATCAATACAAAATGTGTAAAATCAAAGCAGTGCAGATTTTGTATAAGTGATTTTAATATAGCTGTGAACTGTTTTATCGTAAACCAAGCACAACTTATGTTAACTTATGCGAGCAGGGACCTATTAATTAATTTAAGGGCGCTCGCGATAACGGGAGACGATCAGATAACGCTGAAGTTCCCTCTTACCGCTTATCGCTGATTGGCTGAAGACTAATTAGTCACGCTAGCTGGAAATCGTTTATTTATTATTAATTCGGAACATACACTTTTAAATCAGTGGCACTCTTCCAAAGGGAGGTGCGTCCAAGAAAATAAACAAAATATACAAAATCACTAAAATAAAACTCAACCTAACTAAGAGCAACAAGAATTAAAAATAAACCCCACCCATTTACCCTTTACTTAACTCCCCACCCAAAGCAACCAACGAGAAATTAACCCATTTACCTTTACCTTTAGAGCAAAAATAAACATAGACAAAGCAAAACCCTCCCCAACTAACCCATACAAGAACAAAACCAAATTTTCGTTTATCCACCCTCCCACTTAACAACAGATTTACATTAAGGTAAAAGATTGCAATGACCAAAGTTGGAACAACAGCAATGCAGAAAAGAACAAAAATATACAATGTACTTGAATAAATATGGTCCTTCTTTGGTCTATGTTACGTCTACAGATATATAAGCAAACAAGATGAAACTATTAAAATAATTTAATATACTATCATATTAGATTTAATGAGTCTTTGCTACATATGATATTATTTCTAACTATATAATAAAATTTGAAAGGGGAGAGACACGAATAAACAGTCCATAAGTAAATGATAAAATTATCTAAAATAAGGCATGCGGGTTAAAGGTTTTGACAACCCAGGGAAGATATGAGAGGCGACCATGATGGGAGGATTCAATTCTTAAAGCAATGGCGGTCATTACTTGAATTATAATGCAGAAATGTTTGCTACTGATTTGTCAGTTGTGTATTTCCGAATGTCGTGTTTAGATATATGGTTAATGTCAATTCTAAATGAATTCATGTTCTTCACAATGTTATCAGTATTTTTTTCCTAGTTGCATGTTATGAAATAAACTATATTGGCGTCATGATGGGGGTTTATGGAATGGTCAGCTATTTGCAATTTTGTAAACAGGGTTTATAACAACTACCGGTACAATACATGAGTGATGGTTCTGTTGATGGGTAGCTGGAAATCTCTCAAAAGGATACGACTTGCAGTGGGAAAAGTCTTAGTGTGTATGGAATAAGTTTTACGTGAGACTTCGTTTAATCAACCAAAGGGAATGGCCAGCGATTAAGAATTTAGACGCAACGAACATAGAGTGTGAGAAGTCCCAATAATTGGGGGTGAGAAAATAAAAAGCGAACACCGTTACGACCCACCCCCTCTCCTCCCCTGTTTCTCACACCACCTTCAATCTCTTACATCTACATTCTGAAAACTGGAATTAGGTCCCAGATCTGTAAAACTGTACCTCACCAAGACCTCTTCCTATACAAACCCAAGGCCACTAATATAATCGCATCCTCTTATCATTTAGATATTATTTAAAGAGGGTTACCATGAAATTATGTCAAGGTAAAATAAATGAAAGTTAATGATTTGCTTTTTATTTTCTAATTATTCCTTCTTCAGCCTGAAATTAACCAACTCAGTTATAAGAGCTGTTATCATTGGCTGTAGTAGAAGAATTGGCTTTTGATCCGAATATCGAGCTGTCTCAGTCTGCACTGATAAAATACAACGTCGATATGTACACTATATTTTAACGTTTCCTCGAAGTATTTTATGTACCTCACTCAACACACGATTGTTTAGTCATGTTGGATTTATTGATACATAATACAAATTTGTAAGAAAACATAATAGAAAACTGTTATAACAATGGTTTAGCTGCGTGTAATCTGTCCTCAATTATTATTGTCATGTATCTTCTCGTATCCCCATATTCGAAAGAATCCTACATCTGCGTACAGTAATTTCCAATCATCTACACACACACACACACACGCGCGTGCTTTTTAATTGATAACAAAGACAACAAAGACAAGATAGTAATTGTGCACTTTTTTTGCGATCTATCAATGACCTTATTGTTTCTCCAGCTGTTGCTGCTTCTTTTGATACCAGGTAGACCTAATGTATGTAGTTCGTGTTAGGATAGCAGAATGAGGAACGTCCTCGATCTAACAGTAAATCGAACAAAGACCATGAAAGGTTTTTGTTTGACTCAGTTGCTTGAATTTTATTGACAGCTAACAATAAAAGATTTCCGGAGTTTTTAAGAAAGTCGTAAAAGTGAATATAGACGCACTGATTGGATAAACATCTTGTACAATAAAGTGGGCCTATCTGTTATTGGAGGAAACAAATTGTTTCGCTCCATTAACTTCAGCATTCGCTAAGGTTTATTGGAGATATGATTGATTGATTGATTGATTTGAAGACGCTATTATCTATCTATTATCGTGAGATTTTTTACAAGCATCATGTTTCACGCCAATTGGTATTTCAGTTATCAATATTCACGTATTTATTTGTGTAATATAAGATAGTTATTTTTTTCTAGAACCATAAATACCTATTATTATAACGTAATTTTCGAACTAAAGCACATTGCAACGTTGCCACAATGTTGTACTAATCTCATTTTCTGACATACTTGACCACACAAAACGTTTTGCTGGGACCGCATCATATAAGCTTGATTTGGATATGCTTTATGTGATGATTTTCTTCCACTGTTTTAAAGCGGTACAGACATATATAT